TGATTTATAATTTTCTCCCACAGTTTAGAACAGTCCATTATATCTTGGAACTCTCCTGACTTCCTCACCATTTAGAAGTTCCGTAACCACATAGTATTTTCCCTCTTTTTGGTTTATAGTTGTCCTCATTTGCCAATTGATGTCTCTGGTTCCCTTTTTACAGTCTTGTAAGCTTATTTAACTTTGGATATGCCCATAGCTGTGGTTTCTGGGTTATGTCCTCTTGTGTATTAATGGTCAGTTGTCGTTTGCTCTCTTTGGTTCTCTGTTCAAAGACTCCCTTTAGTATCTCTTGTAAGGTTGCTCTGGTTTTAACAATTTCCCTTAGTCTCTGCTTATCTGGAAATATCCTAATTTCACCATGATATTTGGGGGACAATTTTTCTGGGTATATAATTCTTGATTGAAAATTTTTCTCTTTCAGGGTTTTATATATATCATTCCATTGCCTTATCGCTTTCATGGTTTGTGCTGAGAAATCAGGGCTTATTCTTAGTGGTTGTCCTTTGTAAGTAACTGTTTCTTTTCCCCATGCTGTTTCAGAATTCTTTCTTTGTCTTGGTTTTGATGAGTTTGATGATGATATGTCTTGGTGATTTTCTTTTGGTATCTATCCTGTTTGGAGTTCATTGCAACTTCTTGAATCGATATATTCTCATCTTCCATCATATCAGGGAAGTTCTCTTCCAACAAATCTTGGACAATTTTCTCAGTGGTTTTCTTTTTCTCTTCCTGTTCTGGAATTCTGATTACAGGTAGGTTATTTCTTTTGATGGTATTTCACATGAACCTTAGGCTTTCTTCATTTTGTTTTGATCTTTATTCTGACTGATGCTTTTCCAAAGAAGTATTCAGGTATTTGTCTTCAATCTCATTAATTCTGTCTTCCACTGCATCAATTCTACTCCTTTGCCTTTTCAATGTGTTATCTATTTCTGATAATTTAGTTTAATCATCGGGATTTCTATCTGTAGATTTAGAATCATTTCTAATTTTTCATTTATTTTGTTATTTTTGTTCTTGTATTTCCTGTGAAATTCTTCTAGGCTTTTATCTGTGTTTTCCTTGATCTGTCTCTCAATCCTTTGAAGATTCCTAAATATAATTCTTTTGAATTCCTTATCAGGGAGTTCCAAATCTGCTTCTTCCTCAGGGATGTGTTCTGGGTCTGTATCCTGCTCCCTTGTTTCTACCGCTTTATCTTGCTTCTTTGTGTGGACTGTGTTTGTCTCTTGTCTCTGAGACATTGTGATGTTATTGTGTTTTGTCTCTTTTAGCTGTTTGTGAAGAGCAGCTAAGGGTGAGTCAGGCTCTTCTTGGTGGTTGTTTATCATTGGTCCATTGGTGGAAGAGGAAGTGGTGGCTCTCACTCAGTAAGTGAAGCTGCATGAAGTGTGAGTGTCGTGTCATATGGGAACTATTGCTGTCTCCCACTCAGACAAAAATTGCAGTTGAATAACCATCAAAAAAAGTAAAAGCAAATGGACAAGAATCACACCATGTAACCATACAGGAACAGTAACCAAAAAAAAAAAAAAGGAAAATGGGAAGCAAAAACAAAAGAAGTACACCTCAAATCTGTGGAGAGGGCAATAAGAGAAAAAAGGTAGAGAAGGAGAATATTGAAGAAAAAAAATGGGAAAAATGCAAAAAGAAAAACAAGGAACAGGGTTAACCTTGAGGAAGAAAAAAATAAAAATTGCAACCAGGAACAGGGAAAAGAACAAAAGCTGAAAATTAGAACCTGGGAAGGGAAGAATAAAGAATAATGATAAAAAGGACAAAAGTAATAATAATAGTAGTAGTTTGAAAACAGACAAAAACAAACAAACTAAAAAAAAAAAAGAAAGAAAAAGAAATCAGGTAGGGCAGGGCAGGACACTCACGCTCAGTCTGAGCACACAGAGTGGTATGGAATTCCTGCTGGCCTAGAAGGTGGGTGAGAGCGAGGGATGGTTGCATCTCTGCTCACCAAGAGGGTGTGGGATATAAGAGTAACAAGGGGAATGACGTACATTTCCAGTTGTCCGCGTCTGGAATATTTGTGGTTCCTGGCAAGTGGAGTCTGTTCTTAAGTCCCTGGAATCTGGGAGAACGCTATTGCTTTAAATATCCAAAATCGTCAAACTGCTTGTAAACATTCAAAATGACTGCGCCCTCCAGACAGGCAGAAGTCCACAGCTCAGCCCGCCTTCCTCTTCGCTGCTTCCCCTTTTATTCACCAGCCACCAGAGCAGTTCTCCAGCAGTCTCTGGCTAGCAGGCCTGATTTTTAGGTTAATTCTTAGGTCCTACCACCACTCAGCAATATCCAAGCTGTCTGTGCCATCAAGATCACTGCCAGACCGCAGCTCTGGAGACCCTTTTTCAGTGTTTTCATGCAAATTCTTCTGTTAGTTGGAGTTTAGTCCACTTCTATATCCTTCCCTTCAAAGCTCAGGGGTCCAGGATTATGTTCTGTATCTGTGTTAATTGGTTCCCCTTTTCTTTGTTGAAGAGGGTCTGTGCGGTCTTTCTGTCTATTCCACCATCTTAACGGAACTCTGAACCTCCAGCTTTTTGATTAGCAGCTAAGCATGCTAATTGTTCATATCACCCAAGAATTTGTACACAGCAGGGGCTCAATATGCCTTACTGAATGAATAAAGAGATTTATTTTTCTAAACTCTTAGTAGATGTAATAACCAAAATTTTCAGATTCTGTTCTATTCTCCTGTCTCCTTGAGGAGTCAACGTCTATCTGGGAGACAAGACGTATGTCCATGGACAGTTCAAAAACAAAACAAGACAACACAAGATCGAAAACCATAAAACATTAAAGGGTCTCACTACAAGAAAATGGACACCAGTTTCCATATTATGGGGTCTGTTAAGTGTTTATTGATTAGCACTTTTCTTTTCAGACATTGATAGCCCCCAAAACTTGGTGACAGACCAGGTGACGGAGAACACAGCCACTGTCTCCTGGGACCCTGTGCAGGCTGCCATTGACAGATACATGGTACGGTACACCTCTGCTGATGGAGAGACCAAGGAGATCCAGGTGGGGAAGGATCAGAGCAGCACGAAGCTGACAGGTCTGAGGCCAGGTGTGGAGTATACGGTGTATGTGTGGGCCCAGAAGGGGAGCCAGGAAAGCAAGAAAGCCAATACCAAGGCACTAACAGGTAATAGTGCATTATTCTTTGGTGATGTAACACCTATGATGCTAAGCCTGTGGTTGGTCAAGTCTTTGTTTTCCTTCTCTGACACTGGCAGAATTGATGATTTATGGAAGAGCAGGATCATAATCTTCCATAAAGGGCTGCACAAGCAGCCCTCACTTCCCTTCAGCTGGTTCTATTCATTCAGCAAGGGAATATGGAGCCCCTACTGTGTACAAGTCCTTGGGTGGTACAAACAATTAGCATGCTTAGCTGCTAATCAAAAGGTTGAAGGTTCATGTCTATTTGGCAGTCTCCAGAAGTGATTTTGCTGTGATTGGATGGTCACGTCCATCTACTTCTCTGATTGCGTGAATCCTTTGCTGTAGACAGTACTGAGGGCCATCACTGAGTTTCTTAATGGGAACAGAAAATGAATATCAAATACTGTTAATGTTAGGACTAGCATACTGAAAATTCAACCTTAAGAAAGTAGACTTTATATCTACCATAGCAAGTAGATGTGTGTGTTCATTTTACAATAAATGAACCATATTATAATTCTGGTTTTGAACATAAAGAAAATGCCAGTGTTATGTTCTTCCTTTATTGTTGTGAGAGAGATATAATAGATGACCATATTTTGTATAGTGATTTAGTCAGCATTACAAGTGAATCTATGATGAGTTTAAGAATATTAAAGCAAGAGTTTTACTTTTTGCTCATTCATTTAACAAATACTTACTGAGTAATTTTCATGTGCCCTGTACTGTATTTAAGGAGCTCTGGTGGTATGGTGGTTAAGGCATTTGGCTACTAACCAAAAGGCTGGTGCTTTGAACGTACCAGCCTCTCTGTAGAAGAAAGATGAGGCAGTCTTAAAAGATTTCAGCCTTGGAAATCCAATGGGGGCTGTTATGAGTTGAAATTGACTTGATGGCAGTGAGTCTACTATACTAGATACTGGGAACACAAAGAGGACAGGATGCAGCTCTACCCCTCTAGCTGTTTTTATTGGATCTGGCTTTTAGAATCTCCTTGTATCGAATGATAGGCCTTCATTGAAATGATGCTAGATGCAAGATTACTAGATCTTTGTGAGTAGAGCCCGTGTTCTCCAGCACTGTGCCTTATATACTACCTAGCATCATGCATGGTATGCATAGTATACCAGTTGAGTTGGTTCTGACTCATGGTGACCCACGTGCATTAGAGAAGAACTGTTTTCCATAGGATTTTCAATGGCTGATTTTTTGGAAGTAGATTGCTAGGACTTTCTTTTGAGGTGTCTTTGGGTAGAGTTGAACCTCCAACATATTGATTAGCAGCTAAGCATGTTGTTTGTACCACCCAATGACTTGTACACTGTAGGAGCTCAATATGCCCTTAGTGAATAAATAAAGAGATTTATTTTGCTAAACTCTTAGTAGAAGTAATAACCTAGATTTTAAGATTCTTTTCTATTCTCCTATCTCTTTGAGGAGCCAGCATCTATCTGGGAGACAAGACATATGTCCATGAGACAGTTCAAAAGCAAAACAAGACCAAATAAAACGGAAAACTACAAAACATGGGAGCTCTGGTAGCACAGTGCTGAAGGCACTTGACTGCTAACCAGAAGGCTGGTGGTTCAAACCCACTCCTCGGAAAGACGATGGGGCAATCCACTTCCATAGTGATACTGCCTCGGAAACCCGAGGAGGGGTCACTATGAGTTGTGGCCGACTCAACGGCACATAACAACAAAACATGAAAGGGTCTCACTACAAGAAAAGTGGCCACCAGTTTCCACACTCAGGGGTCTGTTAATAGTGTTTATTGATTACCACTTTTCTTTTCAGACATCGATAGCCCCAAAAACCTGGTGGCAGACCGGGTGACAGAAAACACAGCCACTGTCTCCTGGGACCCTGTGCAGGCTGCCATTGACAGGTACATGGTGCGCTACACCTCTGCTGATGGAGAGACCAAGGAGATCCCTGTGGGGAAGGATCAGAGCAGCACAGAGCTGATAGGTCTGAGGCCAGGCCTGGAGTACAAAGTGTACGTGTGGGCCCAGAAGGGGAGCCAGGAGAGCAAGAAAGCTGACACCAAGGCCCCAACAGGTAACGGGAGAGAGGAGAAAAATAAATAGTGAAAATAAATGCAAATTGTTGTACAGCTGCTGAATTATGACACTACTGCTTTTGCTTTCTGTGACCTGGGGGCTCTGATCTATTTTGGGAGAGTTTGTTGTGATTAATTCAATTCACCTAAGGAAAGAACAAAGCATAAGTCCCATAAATGTTTTAAAAGACTTTTCCCCAAAGTCTTTCCTTTTAAGCACTGTGCCTCTAAGTTATAGAAAATTATAGGAAATAAGGTAAAGCCAATATAACAGTTCCTTAAAAAGGCCAGATTAAAGAATTGTCTCTGAAAACTCACCACCATCTAGTTGATTCTGACTCATAGAGACCTCCACTGAGTTTCCAAGGGTGTAAATATTTTATGGAAGCAGACTGCCTCATCTTTCTTCCGTGGTTTTAACCACTGACCTTTTGGTTAGCAGCCAAATGCCTTAACCATCAGAGCTCCTTAAAGAACTGTCTAGTAGTAAGGTAGGATCTCTGGTGGCATAGTGCCTAAGGCATTTGACTGCTAACCAGAACCAGCCACTCCTCAGAAGGAAGACTGGGCAATCTACTTCTGTAGTGATATTGCCTTGGGAA